ATTTTTTTCTCGTCCATTTTTTTTTTATTATTTTTTTTTTTTGGAAATACCCTTGTTTATACACCCTTGATGTTCTTGTATTTGTTATATAGCCCCTTGAATGAATTCAGTTTGTGAAAGGAAACAAAAACACAGTATTTAATTTCTATTTTGTGCTTTCTAATTTCATAGTTTCTCTTTATTTAATTTGGTGGTCCTTTAGGAAGCCATGAGTAAAGACATGCAAGATCGAGCTTCCGAATACGAGACAGCCAACTTCAAATCTTACTTGGCAGATGCATATTTGCACCCGATTTTCCACTCCTTTGAAGGAACCAACTTATATGATATTCGGGTGGATAAAAATCGAGCTGATAATTCTAATCCTTTGCCAAACGCGTATCGTCATCATAAAGACGAGACATCGTATCGAAACATGCATGATGTTGAATCTCAGCAAAACTTCTAGCAATATATGTTGTTAATTTTTATTTGGATTTTGGTTGTGTAAAGTTCTAATCCTCAGTATAAATCATTAACTTTTTAGGTTTGGGTTATGTTCTGTTACCTGATGTAAATTTTCAAATGTTGGGTAGTTTATTTAGTTTTTTTAATGAACAGTGTGTTTTTTTTTTTTTGAGGAATTTGCACCCCATACTACCAAATATAATTTATATTACATCTTTACACCTAATTAATATTTATTTGCAAATATACAAAATTATCCCAACATATTTACACATATACCAGATTTTGTTAGTTTATTAATTATGACTTGAACATAGGAAGTGGCAGTTATAGTAGATAAAACGGCTCTATTTATTGGTCCACTTTGTTTGAGAATGTTGTTACTGTACGAGTTGTTTTTATTAGTCATATGGGACAATCCAAAAAAAATATATATCTTTTTTTACATTGCAATTCACCAAAAAATTCAAGCCCTTTTATATAATTTAATTTTATTTTTATATTTGATAATAATAATAATAATAATAATAATAATAATAATAATAATAATAATAATAATATAAAATTAATTCATAGTATGTGATGTATGCAGCCAAAATTAATGAAAAAAAGGGGAATATGATGCATGAAATAACGTCGTATTGACATAAATTTCTTGTAAAATATAGATATATTTTTAAAAAAATTAAATAATTATTTTTTGATTTTTTTATGATATGTCCATATATAATAAAAAAAATTAACTCCACTGATCTCATGAGATGGACTAAAGAGGGGCAACGGATATTTGAAGAACCACCGACAATATGAAGTCTGGCTCTTTAACTTCATATAATAATAATTGATTATTGCTTAATATACACATTTATATCATTGGTAATTTAAATTCAACAACTACAGTTTTTTCAACATTGATATAATTTGAATAATAATTTCATATATTAATATTAATCCTACTGTTGCACATAATTCGGTAAAGTAGTTAGGAAAATGAAAAGGGTAATCATAATTCGTTAAATATTTGTGATCCTCCTTATTTTCATTATCTATATTATTTACTGTAAATTAAAAAAAAAAAAAAAGACATAGCAATGCTAATTTTTTTATGCATAAAATGAACTTGTATGGTTTAAGCATAAAATGAACTTGTGGACAAGAAGGGCGTAGCTCAGTGGTAGCACCCCTCACTTGAGACCAAAGAGGACACGAGTTCGAGTCATCCAGGGGGTAAGTGGGGAACCACTATTGATCCTCTTAAGAAAGAAAAGCATAAAATGAACTTGTGTGTGTGGATTTTTTTTTACCTTTGTATGGTTTATATTCAATATATTTTCGGTATATTTTCATCCCCTCATATTGTATCATGTTTGTATCGTTCACCCTTGTTATATGTATCGTTAATATTCAGTATATTTTCAGTATATGTATGGCTTATATTAGTAACATCATCGAAAATATATACAAATCATATATCATAATTACAGTAAATCATCAAAAATATATACAAAACATATAGAGAGTATATGTTCAGTATATTATAAGATCTTTTTGTAAATTGTTCGGTATATGTTGTGTGTATAAGGAATATATGTTCAGTATATTAGAAGATATTTGGGTATAGGGAATATAACCTGTTAATATGTTTATATACTATATATATAATTTTATGTAAAAAAAAAAAAATTGGTGGAAGACATGTTTTTTATTGCAACATATACTGAATATATACTAACATAAACGCAACATATACCTACTGGAACAACTGCGTGAATTGTAATACATGTTTTTATCTCTCTCTCTCTATTTAAAACGTACAAGGTGCACAAATTAAGGAATTAAATGAGTTATTATAAGTATATCTCTATTTCTCTCTCCTAATCAATCCCATAAAAAGGGGGATGGAGGGTGAAAGAGTATGATAAATGATTTAGGCATTAATATGGATAAATAAAGTGTTTTATGTAAAGACACAATTATTAATATAGATATGGTAAAGTTGTAAATAAGTTAAAATCATATAGCAAATGTGAAAATTTCCCTTTTTTTTTTTTGGGTTGTGTGTGTGCTTAAATTCATTTTAACCAGCTATAATAGTTTTAGTATTGCCTGGAACAGAAACAAACATAGAAATTTATTCCAAAAATTATTTTTGTTGGCTACATAAACTGGAAATATTATGGTAAATATAAAATTTACCTAAGCAACTGAATAATGCAATCTTGTATGCCCTCAGGAGAGTATATAAGCATTTGTTTGCCACAAAAACAGATTGAGCCGGTTAAAACTGTAAAAAGCATCACAATTTTGTCCCCAAAATAGGCACTTGACAAAATGTTTGACCTCTCAAAGATCAGATCAGCTGGAAAACACATATGATCATTCGACAATGAAAATTTTCTAATCAACAGAAACTCACAAGAAGTTTTCTGTGAGAAATTTGGTGTTGAGATCATTCTAAAATGCAGAGCATATAGTCTCTCTTTGATTTATGCGCAAAAGTTGAGCTTCTTCATCACTTTGGCATAAGCCAATGGGACTATGCCAGGTTGTCTGAGGCGACGTTTGGACTTCTTGGACTGCACGAAAAAAAAATAAATCATGGAGCATTTGTAAGTATTTAGGCAGGTTATTCATTAATTGGGAACACTAGAAGACAGAGTAGATAAGAAAACTCGTGCATAGAGAAATTTTGAAAGCAGTAGCTTACAGCTTTTGGCCATGACCTATGTGTCAAATAGACAACTCTAGCATCATTGTGTATAAAACATCTCAAACAAAACTAGTTCCTAACAGGCATCTACTCTAATTGCAGTGAAAAAGCATAATATCGAGATCTAATCTACTTAAAATCTTTAACTACTGGAGATCTGATTTTTCGTATTTATGTGTTGTGGTCTTAAGTTCTTAGATCTTGATCAAGATATTGGTAAAATAAGCATTTTCGGTGAGTAAATGTATTTTTGCATATCAGTAACTTTCAGCTTATAAGCCCATGAGCTATCGTGTTCTATGAGACGAGAAATATAAGTGCAATTGCTATAGAAAACTGATTTTAGTTTTTACAAAGAAAAAATGATATCAATGGATCGCATACATTATGCATGAGGATTTAAAATTACTGTTCCACCAAGTCAATGGGCAAGCTCCTACATGAATATTTAAATATAACTCAACAAATATATCTGATTATGCCCAAGTCCATAAACATCATTTATAAACAAGCATGGACAAAAAAACATTTGCAACGAAAGAATCTTTCCAAAGTCCAAGCCTCTCTCATAATAGTATTAACGAAAGCTTCCGACAAGATGCAAAAAATCACAAACCTTTGAGAATGCATTATGCCTTTTCCCCTCTTTCCAGCGCCTGATCTTCCCATCATTCATTACCCTGAATCTGCCTTTAAATGACCTATTCCATATAATCATAGTAAAATCAATCATCCTCGTAAACTCTCACAAACCATTAACATTAGTGAAATACAACACATAAAAATGGTGGCCGTAGAGTGACAGGGACATACGAGTATCCCTTGATTTTGATTTTCTTGACTTTGGAAACTACAGGGGTCATTGGCTTCCTACTCTTCAACTTCCTTTTCCTCTGCTTAGCAGTGATATATCGCACTTGGGCCAGCTGAAAATACACCATTTCAGAAGGAAAAATGACAACCATATACTATGTAAGCAAAAACCAAAATAACTTCAATGAGAACATCATGTTAAAAGTAGTTCACAGTATACGAGCACAGTCATGCTGCCTGCTAATAACAAGAGAACACTAACAGCAATGGCAGTGAGCTGGTTTTCCCATTGTCCCAGTCGAGTGACAAAATGTTGCAGACAGAGCTAAAATGAAGGCCTCACAATCTTTCATCAACAAGACCCAACAAAGAGAACAAAATGGTAGATGGAAATTTAAATGGGCATGAATGTATCAAGCTATAAATCCCTCGAAAGCACGAAAATCAAGAAACAACCTTTTGTAGCTATAAGGAAATCAGAACTAGTCCTCAACAGACACAAATTGAAGAAGCATAATAGAATTCCCATATCCAAGAATATACTAAACTCCCATCCACTTTCCTACAAACAATCGCATCAAACAAGATAAAAATAACAAAATAAAGTAAAAAATAAAAAATAAAAATACACTCCCTCCTGAACCGCGACAAGACAGCAGCAGTGAACACATATTAGCAGGCACCAAGTCTCCCATTAAAAAAACAACAGA